AGTATGAAATTTTAAACAATTTTGCATGTTGTTAACAAATATAAAGGATTTAATTACTTAGTTTTATTTTAGCAATTTAAATGACTGGAGCATGATTTTTAAATCTTGTATTAGATGCATAATGTGGTCATATACATATTAGACTTTATTTATGCTTACTTTGGAGTATGATTGATGAACTATTTATTCCTGTTTTGTCAATTATAAGGATTTTGTGGATTGTATGCACTGGTATGGGACGGTAGCATACTAGGGACGGATTAGTTCAAAATACTAAGTCATACCTACTCTGGAATAAGGGAATGGATTAACAATATTGTACATCCTACTTATATATATCGTGTCAAGGCAACGAACAGTTAAGCGGCACTAATTTGGATATGGATGAATTTTAAATATATAGTTATGGTACCATGATATGAGCTTGAGTCTCAGGATCGATGGTTGGGGGGCATATATGCATTAGGATGCACAGCTGGATATGATGGTAGAGGTGTACCCTGTTAGGTCTAGATACTCATGCCCACCTCAGGTGCGTTTTGCATGTTGCCTTCTATTCAGGTTGAGACCCCATGTGTAGTCCAGTGAGAGTCCCTTAGTGTGGATATATATATATGTATGGACTAGATAGATATTGTTGAGTAATCTAAGATGTATATACGTATCGGGTCTCTGTTTGGATTATAGTTCGAATAGAACTTATTCGTAGGCCTGACCCACTATTATTTTTCAAGTATCGGACTGTTCCAGTCTTAGAACTTGTTTATGCTGAGCAGAGATCGTTACTCATTCTTCCGATTACGTAGGCCTACTGTTTATGTTTATGCTGTAGTTTTGGATTCTTTCTTTAGTTCAATTTCTCAGTTAGATTTTGATTAGGGGGTCCACTCGATGGATTCCTGAGTTGTCTAGTTATTGGAGGTTTTGGATTATTGGATTTTAATTATTTAATTTTAAAGATTTATATTTTAGATTTCTTTCAGCCTTTATTTATTTTTTTAAATTCTTTTTGTAATCTATGGTCATTTATATACTTAATTGTCTGGTATTCCTCATATCTGTGCTCAAACTTGATCACCCGTGGCTCTAGAATCGAGGGGTATCATAGTTGGTATCAAAGCCAGGTATAACAATTTTGCATGCTGTTAACGGATATAAAGGATTCAATTGCTTAGTTTTATTTTAGCAATTTAAATAACTAGAATATGATTTTTAAATCTTGTATTGGATGCATAATGTGGTCATATACATATTAGACTTTATTTGGGCTTACTTTGGAGTGTGATTGATGAACTATTTATTCATGTTTTGTCAATTATAAGGATTTTGTGGATTGTATGCACCGGTATGGGACGGTGGTATACTAGAGACGGATTAGTTCAAAATACTAAGTCCTACCTACTCTGGAATAAGGGAATGGATTAACAGTATTGTACATCCTACTTATATATATCGTGTCAAGGCAATGAACAGTTGAGCAGGCACTACTTTAGATGTGGATGGATTATAAATATATAGTTATGGTACTACAATATGAGCTTGAGTCTTAGGATCGATGGTTAGTGGGCGTATATGCATTGGGTTGCATAGCTGGCTATGATGGTAGAGGTGTACCCTGTTAGGTCTAGGTACTCATGCCCACCTCAGGTGCGTTTTACATGTTGCCTTCTATTCAAGTTGAGACCCCATTTGTAGTCCAGTGAGAGTCCCTTAGTATGGATATATATATGTATGGACTAGATAGATATTATTGAGTTATGTAGGATGTATCTGCGTATCGGGTCTCTATTTGGATTGTAGTTAGAATAGAACTTGTTCGTTGGCCAGACCCACTATTATTTTTTAGGTATCGGACGGTTCCAGTCTTAGAGCTTGTTCGTGCTGAGCAAAGATGGTTACTCATTCTTCCGATTACGTAGGCCTGTTGTTTATGTTTATGCTATAGTTTTGGATTCTTTCTTTAGTTTAGTTTCTCAGTTGGATTTTGATTAGGGGGTCCACTTGATGGATTCCCAAGTTGTTTAGTTATTGAAGGTTTTGGATTATTAGATTTTAATTATTTAATTTTAAGGATTTATATTTTAGATTTCTTTCAACCTTTATTTATTTTTTTAAATTCTTTTTGTAATCTGTGTTCATTTATATACTTAATTGTCTGGTATTCCTCGAATCTGTACTCGGACTTGATCACCCGTGGCTCTATAATCGAGGGGTATCACAGTGCAGGTGGTTAAAGTTTGTGAAAAGCTATCATTTCTCTATACAGTATTATCCAGGGAAAGCGAATGTGGTGGCAGTTACACTCAGTTGCCGACCTTATGCTAGTCTTTCTACATTATTCGTCACCGAGTGGAATGCTTTGAAGACGGTTGATGAGTTATCCAATGCTTTTATGACATGTATGGTAGTTACACCGTCTATCATTCACAAAGTACTTAAGGCGCAACTTATAGATCACCAGTGCATTGATAGAGTTGCAGAATTATCTTCTGGAGATGTTCTATTTTATTCTATTAAAACAGATGGAGGCTTGAAGCACAAGGGACGTCTAGTAGTACCTTTTGTTGATGATTTGAGGAAGGATGTGATGACAGAGGTTCACAGATCTGAGTTTTCTATCCATCCAAATGGAGATAAGATGTATCAAAACATGAAGCCATAGTTTTGGTTAGAGGGAATGGAGAGGGACATAGCTATTTTTGTGTCAGATGGTTAAGATTAATCATCAGAGACTGTCGAGTTCTTTGCAGCCACTACCTATACCAGAGTGGAATTGTATGGTGATAAGTATGTTAGTTATTTTCCCCAATGTAAACATGATCCCCCTTCCTTTATTCCATTCTTTGCATGTAATTCGCGGGATCATTAAGGAGTACATTTTCGGTACCTCCTACTGAGTCATTGTGCTCACCCCTTTATTACCATTTTTCAGGTCACAGAAATGAAGTAGTAGATGACATTCCTCCACAAGCTTAGACAAATTAGAGGGACCTTTAATTTCTTTTGTAACCAAAGTAATATTTTATGTTTTGAAGAAATGAAATGTATATGTATCTATTTTGCTTCAAGCTTATATAAGATCGGCATATATATTTATTGTGGATAGAAATAGTTTTGATACCATCCTTTTATCTTTTGTGGTCTCATTAGGATTTCTAATCCTATGTACGGCCTTGTGGCCATATTATAATGTAACCGCATTATTTTGACTTCAATTGATGTATTAAGCCGCTAATGTGTATATAAATGCATGGATGATATTTTGTGGAAGATTTGCGTCAAATGTATGTTTCCGGGATGGGTTTTTATCATATTCAAGGGATAAATGGACTAGCAAGGGTGCCAGGGACTTAAATCATCAAATGAAGCCTTAAAGGCCATTACAACATGAACCGGGCGACGTGTGGGGTTTAGACGTTGACCAGTATCTCAGAAAATAAGGCAGTATGACATTTCACTGTGCAGGGCTCAAACTGGTCAACGTTTAGGCCCAGACGTTGACCGATTTGCATGAACCAATCAACGTGTACCCCGCACACGTTGACCGATTCCTGTTGTCCCTCCATTTTTTTATTTCTTTCATTTCTTGTCTAATCCCAACTCATTCAATAATGTTATCGTGTATTACAAGGCATAGTATGATGCATTAATTATATTTTAACATTAGAAATGACTGTAATGCCCTTAGATGACCTCGGATTAGGTTAAGGACCCGGATAACGATCCAGACCCCCGAGTTTGGGTCGTTACACTAGCAATTGTTTTTTTTTTCATTTTATTTTATTTTCCCTCTTGTAATTTAAATTTTAAATTTTATTTTTCCCTCCTAAGTGTTCCCTTCTAAACTCTATAAATAGGGACTCTTAAAAAGGGGAAGAAAATATATATACAGAGTTCGAGAAAAAAGTGAGAGAGCCAAACAAAGAGCTTGCTCCACTCAATCCTTGTATATATTTTTTTTATTCCTTCTCATTCAATGAAAGTAGTTTTATTTTTATCTTTTATTTTCATGTTATTATGTCAGTGTAATATTCCTCTTCAAGGAGTCTGGAAACCACTATCGTTGAAGTATACATATTTGTGTCTTTTATTTCTTGTATGATAATTCATCCGGAGAGTATTCTTTTGTGAATCTCAATGACAAAAACCTCACAATGAAAGTTGGAGGCTAAAAAAATAGAGGGAGCATTATTCTTGATATGCCAAAGTGTATATATAGTGCAGTGGAAATACCGATAATGGCTATCCCTATTTACAATACACTTTACTAGAGAAATAGTGGCAAACATTCCCCGTATGAAGGTTTAGACATATCTAAAAGAATGTTAGAAAAGCATCTGGAGTGTAAGGCAAAAAATAAGATTAATTTTTTTCTGTGGAAGTGCTTAAAGGATGTGATTCCTGTAAAACAAAATCTCAAATTGAAAGGTGTGATAAAGGAGGATGTGTGCACGGTTTGTGGAATGGAAGGTGAATCTATTGAACATATGCCGTTAAAACTGTCATAAAGTTAGAGAGAGATGGAGATTATCCCCTATCCGCACTTTGTGTCTTCAAAGCAATTAGTTTACGAGACTTGGTGTGTCTAGAGATAGACGGTTGCCACCGGTGAAAGGAATGATTAAATGCAATATGGATGCATGGTTTGACGATAGATTGCAACCAGGTGGGCGGTGATATTCAGGAATTCGAAAGGGGATGTAGTCAAAGGTGTGGTGCTTCGACATTTTCGTGCGCAGTCGGCTACATTGGCAGAGGCTATTTGTGTTGGGGAAAGCGATAGAGTGGTCTCGAGGCTATTTGTGTTGGGAAAGCGTTAGAGATAAGGGTGGTCTCGAACTTATGGTTTAAATAAATAAATCCTCAACTATCCACTTTCAACATTTTGGAGAAGTGGAAAGAGGGCTTGGGTGAACCTCATTCCTTTTTACTTTCACTTGTTTTTTCTCCACTAATCCACTTCAAAACCCAGTTTATTATAAATAATTTAATTGCGGAACTGAAACAACACAAAATCTACTTATTAGTCCAGCCCTGAGAATCAAACAAGGAAAATAATGGCAATCCCAAATTTACAAACCACATCATGTTTTTAGTGTTACAGTCAAAGCCATACAGCATCAAGGCAGTTAGGTGACTTCTGTGAACGGTTGATGGGGAAAATGGATCTTCTCTTCGAAGAACAAGTGATGCTTACTGTTAACACATTATGAAAAAAGAATTGAACAAAAGGAGCACTTTCATTTTTACTTATACCATGCCATATTCAAAGAGAACAGCAACATCAAGACAAACGCCTCTTGATATCTTTAATAGCAATGTGTGCAGCATTCCGCCCTGGTGCGCCCATCACGCCACCACCAGGATGTGTTCCACTCCCACACATATACAGCCCTCTAACAGGTGTCTGGTAACCTGACCTGTGACCAAAATTCTGAGACATTTTATTCATGATTGATGAGTTCAGATGATACAAATACAGTTCAAACTAAAATCATCCATGGAAAATCCGTGCTAATCAGGCTCAGAAGTACTTCAACATGAAGAAAGCTGGAATTTACCACCCCTTGACAGGCCGCATCAAGAAAATTGAATCCAAACTCATAGCACCGTGAAAAATGTTTCCCCCTATCAAATTATATACACAATAAATAAATCAAAGTTTATAATTAAAAACATTACTTATTTTATTTTATTTTTCTGGTTTTTATGCATTTAACAAGAAACTAATACATTTTTTCCCCGTAAATAACTAGTACATTTTCCCCATAGAATCGTTTAATTTAAATTATTTTCCATAGGCTTAATTCCTCGTAGCATATATGTTGCTTAATTCTTAGCATTGCAAGTCTCAAAATGCATACTTTGTAGTTTTGAGATTATAAAAAATCGAAACTTTCCCATGCTAGGCCGGTATAATTTCCTCTAAAGGAATGACTCATGGCTGTAATAGCAGAATACCTGTCAGACCAATCACCCTTTCCAGATCTGGGGGTGTCAACATGTCATAGCCGATAACTGATGAGCTGAAGCCTGGGGCGTATTCATCAATCAGCGTGAAACATCGTTGTGCATATGATTCCTATGAGGACAGGGAATAAAAATATCAGCTGCCAACAAAGGTGGATGTACTCAAAGCATTAGAGGACATGCCACTTGAATAACGGTCAGACATATCACTAGCGAAAGAAAAGGTTATTATGCATTGGCACACTGTCCCCAACCCACAATAAATTTCTTGGATAGATTTCAATTTACCCTGTATGCAGGATCCTCCCAGCTACCATCTGAGGGTTTGTAAGGCGTGTATTGCGTAAATAAACTGATCACATGCTTACCTACAAGAACATGGCAAGATTTCTACAATATAATGTATGAACCGATTATTTTACAAGCAAAGCTTTATCCATTAGTTTACTATAGCCCCATATTTGATGCGGAAAGCATTTGTGTAAAAACAATAATGCTGCACGAGGAGAAAAAAATAATATTGGAGCACAAAATGAAAGGAAAAAAATAAATAAATAATCAATTATATACATAATTTAATTTCACATAAATATTTGAAGCATCCGTGTGTTTCTAACATCTAAGAATAAATCCCCTCATATTTTGGACAAATATTTTAGAGAACTGCTCAAGTTTCAGAAATAACAGACACTCATGTCTTCACCTAATATCAATTTAAATAAGGAAAATCCAGATCAACTTCAACTCAACTCTACCCAATAAAGCTTTCTCCCAGTATTTGGATTCAGCTACATTAATCTTCTAAGCCGCTCAGATCCATCTAAGACCATAGTTTCTCTAAATCATGCACCAGATGTCTTCTCATTCCCTCAACCTACATCTTATTGGTGTTCTCATGTCCTTAAAAAACCATAAAACTTGAATCACATTCCTCCTCCTTGCTGGTCTTACCCCTCATTATTGCACACGGCACAGCCTTCTTAACATATCTCATCTTGTCCTTCCATTGTTCCACCTAAAAATTTTTCACACATATTCATTTATAATTATATATTTTGTTTTGCACCATCCATCTTAATCTCTGCATTTCAAACTCATTAATTTCAGAAACAGCCCAAGTACAAAAACATATGCTTCCTAGATATGTGAGACACTCACAGAAATAACAGGTGAGGGAGCATAATTGCATAACCTAGATTGACTCATTCCTATGAAGGGGTCAAAACCCTCAATTTAGTTCAATTTCTCTCTCTCTAACCAGTTCCTTTCATCTCTCTTCCCATCTAATCTACTCATTTATCCCATTGTTTTGTTTAGCTTCCCTTTACCAACCACAATCATAAACAGTCCTCTCTCTCCCTCTCTCTTTCTCTAACCAGTTCCCTTCATCTCTCTTCCCCATCTAATCTATTCATTTATCCCTTTGTTTTGTTTGGCTTACCAACCACAATCATAAACAGTGGTATATTGGAGGAATCAGTTTATATTCCACACAGTTCCAATATAAACCTAATCTAACAAAATTCAGGAAAAAGGAATGATTATTTAATTACTGCAGCATGCCATGTCTACAACCAAACAGCAGAATACAGTGTTAGATATGTCTGAAACCAAAAAATGGAACAAGAATGAGCATCCTATTCATGCAGCATTTCTATTTCATTCCATACTACACTCTGTTTCTACTTTCTTCCATTCCTCTGTAGTGTTGCAACAAATCATAGAGAGGAGGGGGGGGGGGGGGGGGGGGGGGGGGGGGGGGGGGTTGGGGTGGTGGTTGTGGGGAGCGGGTTTGTTTGGAAGAAAAAAAAAATGTAAAACTTTGATGCGTCAAACTAAATATCGGCCTCTTAATATACATAATGTCGCTATGAAAGAACAGATAAATGCACCAGGACAATAAGTGCATCATACCAGGGGGGGAAATAGTCTTGTCCAATGAAGAAGGAATTGTCATCTCCATAACAGGTCTTCGTGATGGTAAGCCATTCCAAGCATCTTGACAAGCTAAGGCAATTTCATCCATGCTATAGCAATGAGAAGAGCAACGTAAGAAGGCAGAAAATAATCCACAAATGCCAAAAAATTAAGTTTAAGGAAACTAAAAAAGGCTTAGAATGGAATTAGGTGCATGTTTTATTGTTAAGAGTGTGAAGTTCCGTTACACCCCTAACTGATATATCTAAATAACTTGAACTGTAGCATTTCTGATAAACAAAAAACTGACTCATTTTCTAGGCTCTGAGTCAGAGTAAGCGAACGTCGCCATCTAGACCTAGAGAGGGTGAATATGTGATGACAAACAAATAACAAACTTTAAAAGAAATTCGAAAATTGAACTACTATTAGTTGTAATTTGAATAACTATATAAGAAAGTCATAACCATTATGTTTGCAAATCTGAAGCAATTAAATAAAGATAACATCCATATTACATGAACACGTGCTTTTTACACGGAAAACCACATCAGAGAAAAGCATGGGACCTAGTTCAGACAGATCAAATCTGCTATGAGAAAAGGTTTACAACTAGGTTAATGAGACTCTAAACCCAATAATCCCCTAGTTACCTCTAAACTAGACTCAAGCCGGATGCTCTAAAACACTGTAGCTGCCAATCAACAAAATCGCTCCTCCTTTAACACATTGATCTCCATGACTAGTATCGCCCGCTCTTCTTAGGTGCATTGAAGATACTTCTGGTGTTGAATAATCCTTGTAGCACTTGGATTGTTTGTTGTTCGACACTTAAATCATGCTCACCATCTAGATGTTTGATGACAAACACCCACCCCCCCCCCCCCCCCCCCCCCAACCCAAAAAAAAAAAAAAAGAGGGAAAGGAAAGAAAATTCTAGCAATTGAATTGCTGCAATATACTCAATATGATTGTATATGCTTGAGTTATGCTTGCTTCGATTGTGCATATGTTTTCTAAGACCATTGGGTGTCTATATAGATCAAAGAAGCACAAAAGATTTAGGGATGAGAGAGTTTGAATCTTACTATTATTATAACTTCTTTTTTTTTTCTTTTTATCAAGGCCAAAAGAGTTAGAATCCTTTTTCGAAACTCAATTTTCATAGGTTTCGTTCAATCAAACACGCTATCAATCGATCGGAATTACTCCAGTGGCTTTCACTTGATCCATCAACCAACTGAAGAAGAACTGTCCTGGATTCTTTAGGATTTCAAAATAGAAACTTCAAAAAACTATCCTATGCATTCCAAAAAAGGTTTGATGAATCGAAACATATAATTTGAAAACCCTAGCATGTTGAATGATATGAATGCAATATATATATATGAATCCTAATTTGCTGAATGTATAATTGAGACTTGCAACTACCTTTTGCCCTCAGTTGTACCTCTAAATAGCAAATTTACCCTTGGATAGAGGAAACTCAACTAACGGAACCAACTTTGGAAACACTAATTAAATGCTAAAATGAAATACAGACTTACTTATAAAAATAAATAAAATACAGACCCGAAGTTTGAACGAAATTAGTCAACTAAGTCCTATTGACCTAACAAAGTCAAACCATACTATAATCGCCATCTTTGTCATTCAGGCGGCCAGGCCTTATTCCCACATCATTGCATCTGCTATGTGAGTTCAGATATGTCTTTCTACCCCAATTGAAATATGATGTAAAATAATCTGCTACACTTTTGGGCCAGCACCTGTCTCTCAGCATGACTTAGCTTTATCCTCATCTAAAATTTCTTCTATGTGAAGCAAATTGAAACTGACCACTCATGCTAAAGAGAGTGGCAAGTTTAATATCTGAAGCAAAAAAACTTCTAATGTTTATTAGCATCACCATCAACATCTTAGTCTTTCAAGACAGCTAATCTGCTGTTTCCCTATACCTGAACAAGTTGTAAGAGAACTGAGAAGCTCTCAATCAGCTGTCAGTTCCCCTTTTTATGTCATTGGTTTAGAAATTAGGAAAAGTAGAAGTAGAGATGAGTAAGAATTTATTTCCTTTATATTACAAGGACATTGGTAGGCCCAAAAAACAGATGGGGCCAAAACTAACTTTGAAAATATAAAATTGAATATAAGTGAAAAGGAAGGCAAAATAACACTGACTCATTAGCATAGTCGCACACCTTTCACAGCCGATATGAATGATAGCAGAATGATGAGGACCCACGTCTGGATGATCCAACTTGCAACAAGGGAACAGGGGCAACGAATCGACAGCTACATTAATTTTTGTTGTTCCCTGTTTCAGCAACAACAATATGAAACTGAACTTCAATTACCTCCAATAAACAAACTTTTCCATCCATAGAAATAAAAATAGACACACATATATAAAATTCCATGAAAGGTTAATAAATGCAATTGTAGTTCACATCACCTATAAAAATATGGAAAATGATTGTTACACCGAATAGTTACAATGAATTACTAGACCTACTCTTTTAATTGGTCAATTATGCAACAAATAAAGAAGGAGAGCCCTCCACTTAGTTGTATTTGGTATAAATAACCAATAAATAACCAATTAAAAATTATTTGGTTAGACAATTCACTGCAAGTGTTCGGTGTGAGTATCACTACTCTAAAAATATAAATTTCCTACTGCAATCATTGAGTTGACTTGAGTTTTAATGATTGAATGAAAATTCTGATTGGCAAGAGGAAAATTCATCCTTTGATGATCAAGAAGGAAAGTGGAAGGTTGTACATCAAAGGGAGTAACTACACACAGTGCCTGTTGGGAGTGGAATAAATACAAGCATTTGGCCAATCGGTATCACCAATTCTGATATTACTGAAGAAAAATCATATTCAGAAATTATAATTTAACCCCTCTCAACCTATCAATAACATCACTCTTATTTATATATTCCCAGGATATGACCCAAAGAAAATTGTAAATTGCTATCCTTATCCACAAGATGGGTTATAGGTTTGTAAAAATCTGAGACTCAAAATCTTTTTAAAATATAACAACGCGTGGCCTAATCAGGGCTCTAGATGACATTAATATCAAATTTAATTTTTTCTCTACTGGTCAGATGTGTTGGCTGACCTCTTTATTATATGGAAAAACAAAGCTAATTTAGAGAAAATGGCTTCTAATAATGAGAATACAAGATAACATAAAACATTTAAAGGAACATCAAATGGTCGTACACAAAGTACTGAAATATAGAACTCGGTGTTTATCCAATGACAGTACCACTTATCCCAACCATACAAGCATTGAAAATTCATTACAGACCAATTGCACTATGTTCAATGTAATAATACATCGATGTGTCAGCCTTTGGTTAATTTTAAATGTCACGTCTTAGCATATCTATAGCAGAAATGAGTTGCAACCTGCATTCCATTTTTTTTTCCCCCTGTTGGGAGAATATAATAGGAGTGATTTTGGCCTAGAATATATATATTTTTTTTTGATAATTAGCCTATGATAGAATATTGATGAGAGTGATATTTGATTTTAGGAATCCTCCATTAATGTATTTCCATATTTATCTCTTGTATTCTTTCACTTATAAAAAGAGGTGCTCATTGTAACCAATATTTAGAGAGAACAATAAAAGTGATGTAGCCCACTGGGCTTTGTGTGCCGTGGATGTAGGCCGTAGTGGCCGGACCACGTTATTATATCCTTGTGTTCTTCATATTTAATTTCTCTCTTCAATTTTTTATTCCTTTCAACATCCCCCTCAGGTAAGTAGTTGCACCCTGCATTTTCAATTAGAGTAATACTGAAAAAAAAAAAATTAAAATTAAAAGGAACCTTTGCCAGCAATGAGCAGACAAAAATCAAGACGTATATTTACCGCGTATTAATAAAAGTAAGTTGCTAGCAAACAGATCATACAGAATTGTAATCAGAGTACTTAATGGCACGAAGAAAATCATCTGGCAGAGCATTTGGAGGCACTAGTTCCTGCACAGGAAAGCAAAGCCCTTGATCAAAACATAATCAATTAACAATAGCACATCCAATAGCCAACATATGCTCTTTTTCCATTTTTTATGATACAAGTAAAAAATTGCTTATGGTTCCATGCTTCTCCTGAACATGAAAAAAAAGAATAGCAATGTTGAAGTCTTTACCAAGAAAGTCTTATAGGGAGTTGCATTAGATAAGACAACCGAAGAATACAAACGTGTCCCATCAGCCAGCAATACCTAGAATTTCAAAATATATGCCAAAAAGGATCAAGTCTGTTTTGATGAAAGATTCAAATCAATTAGCTGAAGAAATTTATAGAGTGAACTTACCCCATTTACTTTGCCAGAGTCTTCAACCATCAATTGCAGAACCTAAAGAGAAAGGTGAGTAATAAAAATTTGAGAGAAATTTCTAAATAGTGAACCTAATTGTGGGACAGGAGAATGAAGAAAGAACTAAAAAAATGAATCCTAGCTATTGGCTGCTTTACATGCTTCCACTGGTTCGAGAGTGGGATCAACATCTTCCATGCGTAATCATCATTTCTAAGTATTGGATGGTGAATAGGTTTAACTAAAAAGACTGTTTTTGATGTTCATTTCAGTCTTCTACATTAACCTTGATTTTAAGAAGATTTGAATGACAATAACACTTAAAATTGTTACAATTATGAAGGGAACCCATAACCTCAGTGAAAAATGACCATCAACTGAAAAATGCCTCATAAAAATTTGAATAGTTACTTCTACAATGCAATATAGGGTTCTAAGTTTCGAAAAAATATTCAAAATTTAAAGAAATCATTTCCATTATGACCCATTTAAAAATGTCAATAAATTTTTAAATGAAATCATTATCTGCATGAAACTTCCAGTAATTTTACAAAACTTTGAACAAATCCTGGAATAAAGGAAATTATGGAATTTTATTATAACTTCCACTGACAGGTTGTCGAACCAAAACCTGATGAACGAATGAAATATCCGGCATTGCTTGAAGGGAAATATATTTTATCTTTCTTTTCTTTTCTTTTTCACTTTTCATATTCAATGAAAAAAATCATGTATTTTCATTAACATATTACCATTGAGGATGCAGGAATGATTACCAAAAGAATACCTCTGCGCTAGTTACAATATGAGCCCCAGCTTCCCTAGCAGCCTTACTTATAGCCAAGGATACAGAACCCATCCCACCTTCAACATGCCTACAATGAATGTGGGTCATATAACTAACAACATTCAATGATATGCCTACCAGAAGTAATATATGTATAGTCTGAACGTGTAATCACTCATAAGTGCTATCTCAAATTGACCCAATTAAGAAAAATTAATATAACGTATGAATCCCAGGAAAAACGGCCGTACACAATTTTTCAGTCAATGGATTGAGGAATTTTAAAGGCTCCAAGCCGAAGATGCTAGAATCAGAAGAAATGAGAGAACGTGTAATGGAACAAAGTAAACTGATAGCTGCACAACTTGAGGAACTTAAATCTATTATAATCACAAAGCAAGCCATCGGTATTATATGTGTAATTGAATTACTCCAACCATTAATGCTTTGGGTATCTGCAGAGTTTTCTGCTCCTCCGATATGGTAGGACTTATAACTTTTGCCCATGGTGGAATGAAGAAAGTTAAGAGTTGGAAACTAGGCGAAAAAAAAATTAAAGAGTTGTATCATGAATTATATCTGTAATGAACCAGAAAGGAAGACAACCATTTGATTCATATAGCAGCATTCTGTTCAAAAATTGTATCCTGAATGAAACGCCACCAATATTCATTTGAGATGACACTTGAAACACATTACATGCATGGCATGATGGTAATCAATATATGCTTGTGGTGTATGTAATACATCTATGTTGATATGAAGCCGACAGTTTGCTCTTCATGACACATAGTTAACAAATTAGTTTTCCACTACATAAACTTCAGAAAGAAGATACTTACGACCAAATATTGCGATCACCATCAGTTTCACCCATTACATGATGTAGAAGAACATAGCCACTCCCAGGTGTATGGATACTTGCCTATAGTCAACTTAAAATGCCATGCATATTAGAATAACAGATGCAATAATCAATTAAACCAGCAGCCCTCGACACAATTGAGAAACTCATCCAAACCTCATTGTAGCATTTCTTTTATAGTTAATAAAACAACTTTACTATCATATTTACAAGTAGAAAATAAATAAATAATTCTATCAAGCAATAGGATCATCATTCAAGCCATTGTAATGAACTCTAGACCCGCAACAAAAAGAACATCTAAGCCACCTAAAGAGAGGAAAGGGAATGAATCCATTGATTATCCTAACACAGATTTTTGTCTGGAAGTGCATAAGAGTTACTGATAGAAGAATAGGTTACACAAATTTACAACTCCCTGTAGATGATGCAATTTTGATACTGCCACTGCAGTAAAAAGATAATACACTATCTGAAGATGCAAGAAAATATTCTTCTCTATTATGGAAAGATTTCTCACACTCCAAACAACCTGCCTCTCCTTCTCTCTCTAACTTCTCTTTAGAATTTTACATTTTGCCCTATTCCTCCTTCTTGGTCCCCAAGGTGTGAGCTGATGGGCTGGATTCTATCTTTTGGGCCCGTTCGATTGGAGACTCATCTTTGTCGTGTATGCAGTTGGGTCAAGACATTGCCAGGCAACATCCTTAGCTGAGTGGATTGGACTGATTTTGGGCCAATGAAGTTACTGGACCTTTCAATTGGGTTCAGGACAGTCTTTGCTGGGCCATTTTGAGGCCCAGGACCTCTTCGATCTTGCTGACTTGGCCCAGGGCAAATCTGGCCCTTTCACCTGCCTCCTAATCTCTCTCTAATTTATTAGGGTGAGATTAACGAGGGAGAGTACATTATGATGTGATGGCTCGATGTGATGACGTGGGGATGCGGACGGTTGGCACAGACATCCGTGCTTTGAAACCCGCGGCATCATCATTGCTGTGCTGCCTTGATCAACGTGTGGGTTCCTTTTTTAAACTTTGACCCATGCTTCTCTCTCCTCTTCTGTCTCCTTCGTCCTTCTAACATACCGGCCCTCTCTCTGTTTCTGGTAAAAAGAAGTTCTTCTCCTGCAAGATTTTGAGATTTCCGGTCTGTAGCTTCCTGGTGGCGATCTTCCATCTCAGTTCATCAAGGTCATTTATGTTCCTTTGTTGTTTCTAAAAGAGTTTTTCCTTTTTCTTCTCAATCGTTCTTTTTTGGGGAAATTCCCTTCATTATCACCATAGTCAGTGATCTTAGCTCCCTTCGTGTCCGGTGTGAGATTCCCAGTGACGTCTATCTTAGACGTTGTCTTAGGAATGTTGATGTCAAGACCAGTGTCGGTCTTTTAGAAGGGGAGATCCTCTTCTCTACCATTCACCTGAACGTGGTCAAGTTTCCCTTACATCCCCTTTTTCATTTCGTTCTCAACAAACTGAATCTTTCGCCACTGCAAGTAAATCCCAACTTCTTTAGGATCATGTCGATCCTTTTGATCTTAAATCAAGAAAGGAATCTAGAGCTAGACATTCTGGACCTTCTTCTTTGATATAGGATATGTAGGATCCGACAGAATGAGGGGTACTGTCATCTCTTCCCCCTTCCTAAACAGTCATTCTGTACCGGTAACCCCGATTCTGAAAAGGGTTGGAAGAAAAACTTCATAGATGTTAGGGGGGCCTGGCAGGTTGCTACCTCTAAAGACTATCCCATCCCTACAAGCTTTAGTGAATGTTCAGTCCCTCTATATGTTAAGTATAAAAAACATAGGAGCGAGTGTATATGTAAAATTTGTCTTCCGCACTTTTGTACTTTCATCTGCCATTACCTTAAAATCCCATTTGAACTTCTGGATTATAGCACTTGCAGGGCTAGGCTTCGTAATTTGGAGCAGAACGTGTGGATCAAGATCCCTTCAACTCCCAACTTAATAAGTGCAGAAGCTTTTAATAATATTTCTTTTAAAGGGGTCTGCATAGATGAGTTACAGATACCCTCGTTCGGAAGGAACAGGAGTTCCCCAAGGCCCAGTCCTGTTGCTGCTTCCGGTTCCACCAACTCCTCACATACTCGGGAGGAGTCTGCTAAAGAGAGGGCACAGGGCAAGAGGCCCTCATCTGAGAGGAGCAGTGACACGGATCTAAATGATGTTCCCTTGTCTCAGAGGGCAAGGGTTTCGAGCACGACCGGCCTACCGGTCGGATTGACACGCCTACTCCGGTCAGCACGTCGGGAGGAGTGGAGGGGACTTCATCCGTTCCTCTTACTGTGACTCTGTGGGTCCTAAGCTCACCAGGGCGGACGATTCCATGGTCACTCCCAGTGATACCATGTTTAGGCATGGTCCAACCGCTTTGGCTTACTACTCGCACATGTGGTCCCCTAGTGACGTACGGGTGCAGAGAGAGATATCACGAACGGAGATGTTCACTCAGTTTCCTATTTCAGCTATGGAGGTAGCTTTGATTTTCATATTTTCATCTTCTTTCCCGATCGTTTTGATCTTGCTTTGTTTACACTGAGTGTGATAGATGCCCTTGTTTCCATACAGACTCCATTCGAAATGGTCATTATGCAGAGGGCTCTCGAGATAGCCGACTAAAAAGTGATCACCCTCTCTTCAGGCTATAAGAAGTTGTCAACGACCTGAAGAAGGCAAAGGTAGGGCTGAAAGAGTCAGAGCTCAGGCGTTCTGGCCTTAAGAAGGAGATAAATGACTTCCAAGGCGCTCTAGAGGATGAGTGGGCTGCTCGATCTGCCTTGGAGAAGAGCAGGGTTAAAGGTGGTGTCAAAGCCCTCCATTCTCGCTTCTCTCGTGCTGGGCCCTTAGATACGCCCAGGGGTATAAAGACGGATTCACAGATCGCTCTCCTACCGAAGGGTAGGGAAGGTCTTATGACGATCTAAATGATTGTGATCATGATCTCAGGATAGAACCCCTTGGACACTACACCGATCCTGCTCCCGTGAGTGCAAGGAGATCGTCTCTTTTGGGGTCATTCCCCCCATCTCTGTTGTCCAGCCTCTCAACACCGCATCAGCGGTCTCACCTCCAGAGACGGGGGGTTCTAGCTGGTCGTGCTCCCAATGATCAGAACCCAACTTCTTCTAAGAATGTGGCCGACTTGAATTCTCCCTCTCGTGGAGATGATCCTCGGGATGATGTGGAGCACACTTGGGAGAGTGATGCGACTGTTTAGGTCTTATTGTCTTTCCTTTTTTAGATTGATTTTGTAATGTGAACATTATTTATAATGTAAACATCTTTTGTGTTCTGATGAATGACAATAAAATATTTGAATTTTATTTTGTCTTCCTTTCTCTTCTTTAAAAAGTTTTTGTGAATTTTCACACAAGTGTTTGACGATCGACTAAAAATGCCATTTGCCTGACTTGGTCAAATGCTTGGCGTTCGGAAAACAGAGCCACTTGCCGCTAACTTGATAAATTTTCACAAATGTTTGTCGATTAATAATGCCATTTGCCACTGACTTAACCAAATGCTTGGCGTTCGGTAAACAGAGCCACTTGCCACTAATTTGATAAATTTTCACAAGTGTTTGGCGATCGGCTAATAATTCCATTTGCCACTGACTTGGTCAAATGTTTCGCGTTCGGCAAATAGAGCCACTTGCCACTAATTTGATAAATTTTCACAGGTGTTTGGCGATCGGCTAATAATGTCATTTGCCACTGACTTGGTCAAATGCTTGGCATTCGGCAAACAAAGCCACTTGCCACTAATTTTGGTAAATTTTCACAAGTGTTTAGCCGTCGGCTAATAATGGCATTTGCCACTGACTTAGTCGAATGCTTAGCGTTCGGCAAACAGAGCCACTTGCCACTAATTTGGTAAATTTTCAAAAGTGTGTGGCGATCGGCTAATAATGCCATTTGCCACTGACTTAGTCAGATGCTTGGCGTTCGGCAAACAGATCTACTTGCCACTAATTTGGTAAATTTTCACAAGTGTTTGGCAATCGGCTAATAATGTCATTTGCCATTGACTTGGTCAAATGCTTGACATTCGGCAAACAAAGCCACTTGCCACTAATTTGGTAAATTTTCATAAGTGTTTGGCGATCGGCTAATAACGCCGTTTGCCACTGACTTGGTCAAATGCTTGGAGTTCGGCTAATAATGCCACTTACCACTAATTTTTTGATCGTTATGTATAAATAGCTTAGTAGGTTTCTTTCCTTTTTCTTTTTCATTCACGCACGTAGTGCGAATACATAAGGAAAAAAGAAAAAATGAACAACTTTGGAACCAAATGATAGTGTTGTTTTACTGATAATACCTCTTTAGATAGTTTGCATTCAATAGCTTGTCAATTCGCCTTCCCGCTAACGTTTCCAAGCCTGTATGCCCCTTTTCCTCTGACTTCTGTAACTCTGTAAGGTCCTTCCCATGGGCACATCATTTTTGGGACGATGCCCACTACCCTCTTTAGTACTAGCTCACCGAGGGCAAAGCTTATATGCCTCACCCTCTTATTGTGACTATTCGCGAGCGTCTGCTGGTATGAAACAAGCCTGATTGCTGTCGAATCCTTACTTTCCTCTATCAGGTCGAGGTTGAGTTTTAGCATTTTGTTGTTCTCTTCTTGGTTCCATGTTATGCTTCGAGCTGTTGGTACTGCTGGCTCGGTCGGTATCACTGCTTCCGTGCCGTATGCCATAGCAAACGGACTTTCACTGGTTGGCCTTCTTGGGGTTGTTCGGTAAGCCCACAAGACGTTCGGGAGTTCGTCTAGCCATTTGCCTTTCTTGTCCTCCAACTTTTTCTTTATGCAACTGAAAATAATTCTGTTTGTGATTTCAGTCTTTCCATTTCCTTGCGGGTGGCTTACTGCAGCAAGCTTCTGATTGATCCCATACTCGTCCAGCAACTTCCTTACATGTCGGTTGTCCAAATTGGTACCGTTATCCATGACGATCAACCTGGGAACCCCAAACCGACAAATTATGTTGTTCCATATGAAGCACCTCACTTGTGTGTATGTGACGCTAGGATAAGGT